CTCACCTCACTGTACTGCAGTGTCCTGTCTGACCAGATATCTGACAGCTAACAGTCCCAGACTCCTCTGCTCCTGACCAGAGACTCAGTCCCAATAAAAGCTCATTATTACTGGATTGCCATCTCTGCTTGCTTTTAAGAAGAACTAAAACTGTATAAAGTATTGGTGTTTGACCATATGAAGAAATTCATTATCTTGCTTTTTTTGGGGCATTATATGAATCCTTTGAATTAAAAATAAATGCTGATAAAAAGCAGCCTGCTTACTTTGTCCACACAAGCTCATGAGTCCCTCTCCAAGGGACAGGAAGGTCTTGGGGAGAGAGAGGACGATCCTCACGCTGACAGTCGCTTCCCTCATCCGGTTAGCTTTGAGCTGGAGTGGTCTCCACCCCCTGCGGTTCCCGGTGCGATTGACCACACCCCGTGAGCTTCCGGATCATCTCCAGGTGGGCCTCTGTATCTCTGCCAGACATCCAGGCCCAGCAGTGCACATCCGTCTTGGGAAAGACTCTTATCGAGAGATAAGCTCACACACAAAGACCACTAGGACATCCGGGGGCTGAGATCACGGGAGGGGCCTCTTCAGTTACGCTCCTGTACGCTCACACAGACAGCACCACGCGAACATCAGAAATCTCCAAGAACACGAATTCTAAGGCAAACAGACCTCGTCCCTATAACAGGCTGTGAACACCCGTAACACGCCCTACAGCTAATTACAAACATTTTCAACTTGCTTGATGCTCAGTTTCAAATTAGTAAACACTGTTTCTTTTGATACAGGAGACACTTGACACCTTTTCTGTTCCGAGTGGAACTATCCCCATCAGCATCATAACGACACTGTCGGAGAAGCTGAAACTGGACACTATTAATGAGGGAGGGCAGTCTGGTACACCTTCTGTACTAAAACCTACTGTAACTGTCAAAGAACTGGGTTAGAAATGCCATTTACACTCACCTTGATAGCAAATTCCTTCATTTTTAAACTACTGTCAGGGACACTGGTGCAAAAATCACTCCCAGGGACAAGATGTATTCTTTACTACAATTCTAAGTTTCCAGTAACACAAGTTTCAGTAATGTACCGTTCTTAATTAATTCGGTCCGCGAGTTGTGAACTTCATTTTATTATATTTTCCCTTTGAGAAAGACTGAAGACATGCATCCACAGATCCCACGAACCAAACATGCAAAGGAATTGAACTGCGTCTTCCAATTTGGTTACCAGGACAACCAGCGAACCGGCACGCGCACAGCAGTTCTGCAGGTCATCGCGTTCGGAAGCAAATCACAGGTCGGGTCTAATGAGGAGGATAACCAAAT